AGACGAATGTTTTCACCCTCGTACCAGATTCATGAACACGTTGGTTGTCATCTCACCGTTCTTCTCATTCTGTGGCGGGATAGAGAGACACAGAGAAAGCGAGAGAGGGGGATAAAATTAGTGATGCCACCATGTTGCATGGGAGAGCTGATGACCCTGCAGCAGCCAGCAGTAAAGTCTGTGTGTGTGTGTGTGTGTTTACCAAGCTGACAAGTTGAGAGAGGGTCATCCCAATGCGCACCATCACCTTCTCCTCCCAGTACCGAGCAGGTCTCACTTTCATGTTGTAGTTCTGGAAGATCCTCTGATGGAGCCTCCGCTCGGTCTCTGAGGCTCCTGGATGGAGTAAGACAGGCTACAGTATACATGTATATGCTTTATGATGATGCTAGAACACGATTACTGACTTCAGAATAGAACTTTCACTCCAAAAAATGTTTTCAATTTAAAATAAATGCACAGATGGATTCCACATTTTCACATCCATCCATCCATCCATCCATCCACTCATCCATCCAATCCGTTGTAGTTAAAATTAGATGAGCATCAACATTAGAACACCCCATGTTGATGTGCAGATTTAAGCCTCTGACACGCAGACAGCAGCATATTTGTTGCCAGGGCAACAGTGTGTCCGGCCTGCAGTGGTTAGGGGTTCAATTCCCTCCAGAATGACCTATGCTAAAAATAAACTTTATTCTTGGTATGGACCGATTGATACTAGGGTTTTGTGATTCTAACAGTGAAGAGCAAATAGTGGAGAAATCGTTAGTAATTAATCTGAGAATAAATCAGTGCTAAAAAAAAAACGTGCCCTGAGGCAGAGCAAGAGAAAACATTGTTGAGACAAATTGGTTTCTCTTTAGTGCCTAAAATTCCGTCTTGGGAGAAGTAGACAACTAACATTTTATCACTTAGCAGAATTAAGCTTCTGTCTCCTATAATGTCTGGATGGTGGACTGACTGACTCCCATTCCAAATATGTGACTGAACAAACACGTGGAAAAGACAGAGAAGGACAAAAGAAGCAGGGCAGGTGCTGGTGGTGTACGATGGGTAGCAAAGGTGACTGAGCTAATGTAATTGATATGCAGCAGGGGGAATGGGATCAAAGGGATGTCTGGGATACCAGCTCCATCAGGGACGAAAATAGACTCTGATTAACAAACAATGATCTGTTAATATGATTCATTATATGTTCTCACAGCAGCCTCCTTTCGCTTCCTCAAAACAGGACTTCTTTCTGTGGGATTTCCCTCTCTCCACTCCGTCGCTCTGTCCTCTGTATGCCGCTCCCTTCTCTTTGGGGAGAACAGATGTAGAATCACCCCGGAGAGGAACAATCCATCACAACCTCTCTGGAGGTCACAGCCAATTCAGGGAAGCCGTTTTGCTTTCCGCTCCCACTGAGGGTCAAAGTCAAAGCCCTTCAGCCGAGCACAGATAAGAACTAGTCATCGCAAGTCGATTCTAATTATGATTTTATCCGAAAGAAAAACACAGAGGGAGCGGAATCAATAGCAGTTTAACTGAAATGACAGAATGCAGAAGGATGCTTGTCTGTTATCTGATTATAATGTAACTGTCCTGAGAGCCTCAATCCCTAATTGTATATGTTTGTAAATGGAGGTGGAGAGGGTCGTGTTCTAAGGTAGCAGTGTTAGGACAGACAGAGGAATGGAAACATTGTACAACAGGTCGCCAGCAAGCACAGGGCAACGGTTTGTTTTCAAATCCCGGATCGAAGGGCTGGGACAGGTCAAAGGTCAAAGTCAAAGGCTGTCAAATGCTTTCGTTTTTTTCTTCCAAAGTTATTCCATCCCTGACAGTCAGTGCACTATTCAACATGTGCCTCCAAGTTTAACATTTTAATTTCATGTGCAACAGATTAACTCTAGTTATCTGAAAAATCATCCACAAAAACACATCCACCTTCATATGAAATGTCCTTACCTGTGAAAGTGAGACAAATGCTGCTGCATAGGATGAGAAGTGTGTTCAATCTCAGGTTAATGTTGAGCTGCATCTTTAGTCGTCCAATCATGACAGTTATGACATCTTCTTCCACTTTAATGTGCCAGTCAAAGGCCCCTCCCCAGGTTTTTATACAGCCGTCCTGGCACCTTCACCTGGAACCTACTGTAGATACTCTAAAGCACGGCTTCCTTAGCTCAGGCAAACAAACGCACACACTGGTCAGCTAAAGGCTCTCTCTCTCTCTCTCTCTCCTGTCTCTTCTTCGCTTTGTGCCCACGGCTCCATGGGTAAAACCACGGCCTGATTGGGCGCGCAGCGCTGGGAGTGACGAGAGGGCGGAATGTTTTTGTACTGGGAGGCCTGTGGGCCAGGCACCTGTTGGTGCTCACCAATGTGAGGTTAGGAAGAAGAGGAAGTGCAGGGGGGTGGGACGGGGGTAAAGGAGTGGCAGTGGGTTACGGGTTGTGACAATGGAGATATTTTTGGGAGGGAGGGGGACAAGTGGGCGGGTGGAGCGAGGGGTTCATCGGTAGGGGAGGTTGCCATTTTCTGTGGACGCAGAATGATTGGCAGGGGTTTGGAGCTGAAGTGGTTGATACATTTACTGCCTCACTCATCCTGTAATTGAGCTCTCCTCTCATTCTTATTCCCCATTAGATCAAATCACCTCAAAGTTCACCTTACCTCAGGTACTCCTGTACTGTTTCTTCAGGCTGTTCCAAACAATGCCAGAATTCAAGCTTTGCATGTAAATCTCCAGGTTCAGTTGTATTAACATTTTATGAATTAATTGTTTCATAAAGTCAGATCTGAATGGGGATCCTTTAAAGAGCTGTGAGAAAAGTTAAGCCACTTAATTATTTCTCCCAAGTCGGTGCCTTTCAGTGGTAGAATAAAAAAGGCACTGGTAGACAGTACACATGCAGAGAAGGGGTGGGATGGGGTGAGGGAACGGCAATGATAGTAACAATGTCCCATGTATATGGTTGTCTATGTGCTTCTTTCAGTCAAGCTTCAGTGGGGACAAGAGTAAGAAATCGAGTAAAAGTGAATATTGGAGCAGATTTCACTCATCGGTGAGATGCAGAAGTCGTAACATTCGCTTGCTTGAAGTCGGGCTGTGAAACTGAAAAGTTGTCGACTCGATCATTTATCATCAGAAGCAAGATAAACGCTTTCCATAGAGGTTTAGCAGGTTGGCCAAATAATTCAACATGATTCAAAACTGCATCATTCAGCAGAGCGAGCAGAGAAGGAGCATCTCAGTCTTGCTGATATTAAACTTGAAGTGAGCTTGAGGGAAGAAATTAATGTCAAACATATAAAATAGAGATGGATGTTGTTGCCATAGAAATGGTGAGGCGAGACATTCGGGAAAAAACATATCAATGAAGCGAGGGACCGTGAATGAACGTCGTGTCGCTTTTTATGATGTCATGCAGTTTTTTTTTATCTGTTACAGGAGATAAGAAAAAAATATATACACATGGTCTCTGTCTCAATTTTCTTTTACCTCTTTTTGTTTGTATCTGAGGTCATACTATCTGATCTCACTCATCCCCTGAGGGTCTCCAGTGCACAAACACAACATAAATCAGAACCACATTGAGAGTTGAGAAAAGGAGAAGGTCTCTGACTTGCCCTGCTGCATGCCGCCACTCCTAGTATAAATACATCAGCCGGAATGGCCCCCTTGGCGTTTCCGTACATCTGTCGAGCGGCCCATCTTCTCGATGCAACGGCTTCGTGCAAGGTCAGAGAGTGAGATAATAAGCTGGGGATAGAAATGAAAGTAATTCTATGCAGTACTGTGGCGATGCTGCTGCAGTCAGGTCTATATTATTGAAGCACTGTTGCCACAATGAGCCGTCGGGAGTCTTCGAATTCTTCGGCTGAAAGAGCTCACGACCCATGTATGCATGAGTGTACTTACACACAGGGAAACGTCAGGGAAGCCCATGCGGCAATGACCAGTGTGTGGTTGGTTATTAATAGCAGAGCGGGCAGGTGACGGAGCGAGGGTCGCAACTCTCACGGCAACAAATCTGACAACAGATGGAGCTTTTAATATCCTCCCCTCAGATCTTTATTTAAAAAAAACAAACACAAAAAAATAAAAGCACAAGATTAAAAGGGCAGGTGTGTGTTTGTGTCATGTGAGAGAATCAGTAAGGGGACATGTGGCACAGGTCTTCTGCATGATGGGAATTCCAGAGGCCATCGGTGCGACTGGTGAATTGAGTTGGCGTGCTGCTCCGCACTCACACACATACACACCGCTGCCGAAAATACAAAGAGGATTACTTCAGTGGCCAAAATATCCATGGAGCATGTGCCACACTCCAGCACATTCTGACACAGGGAAATGAAAGGCATACAGCCCGCTCATTATAGCATCTGGTTTGTCTTGGTGTTTATGTGTTAACACTTTGTATGAGTATCAAACGCAAGATCCACACTCTACTGAAGGTAATACACTGGAAAACTCACCAGTAAATCAGATACATATTTCTACATGTTAATTTCATGCAACAGGCTAATCAATGCTATTGGATGTGCACGTCAGTTTTTGCTTGTTTAAATGATCAATGTGAAGCACTCACATTTTCATGTGGTTACGTTTTTGTGCACAGTTGCTTATTGGGCTGAAAAACCTCAAAATGTCCATTCATTTGCATCCTCTTGCACTTTCAAGTGGTCAAACAACATATGTCCCATCCACTAACATGGAGGAGGTGCGATCTATGACCTATACTGCAGCTAATGACCAGGGGGCGATCAAGATGCTTTGTCTTCACTTTTAGGGCGCTGTAATGTCATACATCTTTATCGTCGCTATGGTTTTATTTGAGACAAATGTACACACAATGTAAGTGTGTTATGTATATATATATATATTATATATTCATATTTTAAGTTATTTCATGCCTGTGTTTAGTTCATGTCTAGTCATATGTGTTTTGAGCACTCGGTGTTAAGTTAAACTTCACTCCTGTCTAGTCTCGTTGTGCACTTCCTGTTTTATTTTGGCACTCACCTTTTCCCTCTCATTTCAGACCCTGACTTCCTCCCTTTGTGTGATTTTTCCCGCCTTGGTGATCGTCTTCCCCGCCCCTGATTGGTTTCACCTGTTTCCTCCTTCCTCATGTATAAATAGCCCTCGTCTCCCTTTGTCCTGTGCCAGTTGGTCTTGTTCTGTCCTTATGTGTGTCACTGCCAAGTCAAGTTTGTGTGCTTCATGTTTACTATCTTTTGTTTGATTCATGGTTTTGCTAGTGTTTGGTTTTGTTACTTGTTGATCCTCCTTGAGAGCGCCTTTCGTTTATGCACCTTTTTGACCTAAAAATAGACCTTTTTGTTGTATTCACTACCTGCCTTAGTCGTGTATTTGAGTCCACCAGCATTCGTGTCTGAGGTCGTTACAAAGAGAATATACTGTGTACACGTGTGCTACACGTATATGTACAGACTGAAGTTTCCAATTTGAGACACAGCAATTTTCTACCCTCTATTGGTTTTGTATACAAGATAACAGTCTGACACGATTTCAGAATGTTACCAATATTCATCTGCACCGTCTATGCTACATTCAAATGAACATGAGAAACATCTTGAGGTCGTTTGGCAAACACCCTAGAAGCTAAATAGGCAATGTGAGGTGCACAGGGCACAATGGGCCTGTGGTGAACTACACAGAGAGAATTACTAGCAATAAAACAATGTCTCCTACATCAAGAGGAAGATTGTTGAAGAAACTCAAAAGTTCTAATGATTCAGGTGAACTTGAAAAGGGTCAGTGGGCGTGATGTTGAATTTGGCGTCGGAGAAGATGGCCAAGGTTCCCACAGTGGTGAAGATGACAAAGAGCCAGAGAAACATGCGGTCCACCACCATAGCCACATACTGCCAGTCCTCCTTCAGCTGGACAAGGCCATCAGATGGTAGAGATGGTGATAGGATGGATGGATGGATGGGCAGACATAAGCATAAGAAGGGGGATAAAAGAAATTATGGCCTGTGAGAAACAAAGTTATCCAAAATCAAGTTTTTTTAATTAAAGTTATGACATATCAAAAACGACACTTACAGCCTCATAGTCTTTCTCAGCCTGTAGAGCCTCTGCGATATATGTGATGGCTTCTATGGCTGACTTCAGCTCATCTGGTAATGAAAGATAGGTACTGGGGCCGTTGATAAATTTTCTCAGGTCCGTGTACATGCCCTCGGGCTGAAACCTGCACGTCACAAAATGCACAAAACATCATATGGTCGATAAATATAACATTGGTTCAGGAGCAGTAGAGCAAGTCCACATGCAGTGTCAACACCTGAGCTGAACAAATGCACACGGGCCTGTGGAATGTGGCAACGTGCAAGCAGGCGTCAGTCCGCGCTAATTAAAAGCTGTAAAATCGTGAAGTGTGCACGAGCCAGGCTGCATGTCTCCTCTGCACTCCTCTGTCATTCAGGGAGGAATAAAAGAGAGAAGGTCAGAGGAGCTCCCGGGGCTCGCTGTACCGGCGTGGGAGTCACCGCTCTGCTTCTGCTGACTGCGCTGTTCTGGCTGAGAAACCCTGTGTGTGTGTGTGTGTGTGTGTGTGTGAAAGTGTATGGTTGCTGTGTTTACTTGTTGACTTCCGTTACCAACTGTCAGCTACAATTGGGTGCCAGGGGTCGTGGGAGGTGATGGTGGGGGGGTGGCTGTGAAGAAAGTTGCTTCCTATCTTTGTCACTCGCAGGTTTTGCTTTTACACCAGAGTTAGCAGCTGTTTTTGTGTTTTTAAATTAAGGTAAACCTGCTAAAAAAAAGGCAAAATTATTGTGTTAACATTGGTGTCCAGCACTGCCGATGGGAACCAGTGCTGATTAAAACCTGCGTCCACTGCAGAGTCAGTTGACCTGGTATTGTCAATGGAATCCATTATCATTGCATAAAAAAAGCCAGATGTGACTTGTTTTTTTTGACCGGTGGAAAAGACTGTGCAGGCAACACATTGCTGGAAACATGAAGCTTTAGGCTGGCGGTGAGGCCGACAGAGCATTAGCTTTAGTCTGAGATGTCATTGTTACTGTGAGGCAAAGAATATTGAAATAACCTTTAACTATTGGTCATATCAGACCAGGAAAAGCCACATCAACAAAACCCCTGAATGTGATATGTGATAGTAGATTAAACTTTTCATTTCAAAGAAGATTATTTTAAAAAAGTAGTAGTGTTGCTTTAACACACAGCGACTGAAGAAACTCAAAGCATTGCTCATCAGCGATTTATGCTCTGATTTTCCCTGCTGCATTTCCATGCATAGCAGTGCGGCATGTCCTTGAGCAATGACACATGGATTTCCATTGGCTGCGTCTAACGCTCCTCTAACATTAAGTAGTGATACAGCACGACTCAGTCAGCGGGACATCACAGATAAAATGTCTGGTAGAGAAATGACTTTGTCTCAGGAGCAGAGGAATATTCTAGTCTCACTTTGAGGTGTGTGCCATCACATCTGTTGGATATAATATGGTCCTGGATCGAAATGGATCTGGGAATTATTGCAACCGACACTATTTAGTGTCCTCTGCAGAATACTTTTCTCTGTTTAATGTATACCAATTACATTATTCCATATGTATGTCTCTTACTGTGACCTTCTTCTATTTCATATATATATATAAAGTATGAATATTTCTGTATGAAAAATATTTCTGTGTGTCAATTATGTACTAATCTCTGCATTTTTTTAAATTTCTTTTTTGTTGTATTGCCTATTTAATTCTATTTTCATACTTTCATGTGTTCTCCTGTCTACCTCATTCTGTCTTCTGTAACGAGTGAATTTCCCTGACATGGGATAAATAAAGTTGATTTAATTGCTACGATCAGATCTAAACAGCATTATCTGTTCAGTCTAAAGTGAAAGTTAGTCCACCTGGTGATTGCATTCATCGGTTATTGTGCTCTTAAAAAAATTATGACACAAAAGGAGTAAAAATCTCCAAACAGTCACAGATGAACAGCATTTCGAGCAGTAAAACCTTTTAACAAAGTTTGTAAAAAGTTATCTGCACTTCGTCCTTTGTCAAAGCAGATGTAAGTGAATCCTCTTGCAGAACAGCTGCACTCTGCTTATGAAACACCTCGAGTATGAAACACCTCTACCACATGCACTTTTTAAAAGTTGGGACATAAGTGCAGTTTGGATGAAATGCAGGTCAGGCAGCTCGACACAAGAGGGCAGTGTGGCACCATGTCTGCAAGGGACCATGAAGGGACCCATGCAGGGGACTGCTTGGTATGCAGGGGTGGGGGCTGCCATCGCTGCTGCTCGTGCAAGTGTGGCAGGTGAGGAGGCTGTGACCTGAGAGAGGTGGAGCCTCATCATAAAGAGAGAAGGAAATAAGAGAGGGAGGGGAGGGAGAGACACAATTTGGCCTCTTAACCCATCCTCCCCTTTCTCTCCTGCCTGGCTCAAAGTAACACTTCATCAGCGAGAAGTAAATGACTGTTCAGGAGACTAATTCAACTAAAACTGGCTGCGTCTGGTGCCAAGACATGCACTAAACCCAATTAAGGAGGTGTGTGTGTGTGTGGACTCAGGAGAGAATCTGCTGTCTCATCAAACTGCTCTAATAGAGGCCCTCCCCCTCCCTTCCTCTGTCACCTGTTCTTTCACCTGGACACACAGCGTCCCGCTCTATTGTGTCAGAGTTGATTTGCGCAGGTCATTATTATTTTAGCAACGATTCTCTGCCGCCTCCCATCTCCCCCCCTGGACGCACTTCAGTTCTCGCAGGAGGTGACGGATGGAGAGGTGGGGACAGCGACGCACGCCGTGAGGGAGATTTTTTGGCGGTGTATCAATAGAGCAGGGGGGGGGGAGGCAAGCTCGTTGAGGATGTCACAGAGCAGACGACTTCCTGCGAGGACCAAAGTCTACCTGCATGCCAAGGTCATCTGTTTCCTTGTGTCTAGCGCACGGAGACCACAGTTAGACTGATGGGACAGTTTGTCACCGATTTGTGTGCCAGCATTGGCCCACATCCAGCTCCTCACAGATCCAGCTCCCTACTCAACAGCTTCAGGGACAGCGCTCTGTAAAACCTTTAATGAAACTCATCAGTCTGGGTTTCACTGGGGGTGTTTGGGAATTCAAGTCTAAATACCCCTTTTAGGTGTTTTTCTATGCACCCAAGCAAAAAAACGTCCGCACTCTATAGTTCTGTTCATGCATGATGTTCATAGACTGTGTATAAAGATGGCTGACACCTCTCAGTTTTCCCATACTATTCAGAAATGAAGCCAAAAGATAGAAACGCTGCCTTCTTATGCATCCGGAGCCACAGTCTGTGCAGTAGTGACTGAGGTTGGAGACGCGGCATCAATGTCGCGCTGTCACGTGCGCTTTTCAGCCTCTGTCTGAAACACTCTCACCCAAATAGCACAGGGGTCCAGCCACCAGGGGACGATCAAGGCACATCAGCACAACTTTATATACAGTCTCTGAATTTCACACCAAAGGTCAGAAAGTGAACCTCCAGCTTTTATGTCTCATATGACTTGTTCCCTGATCAATTTCTGGCTTGCACCCACGTTTTGGCAGCTAGTGCAGATTTTACTGCGATCTAATAAAAAGTGACACTGTGATATTTACATACAGGGAGCGTAATATTTGACTGTGACTTTTAGGAATGCGTGTAAGTGTGTTTGCTCTGCACATTTAAAGGCACCGCTCGGATGTCTGAGCACATCACCTCAGCTTCTCATTCTGCAACAGATGAGAAGTGAGATACGGGGACGGGAAAAAAAAGTTGAGTAAATGCACGGTATTAATTCCGTCTCTTCATATTTGAGGCAACTGCTCTGCCCGGTGATTTTTATGGAGAGTTGACTATTAACAGGAAAAATGCAAGCTGTGGGGAAAACAGAAGGTGCTCAGGCAGCTGACTTCAAAGATAACCTGCTACATGGACTTATACATGAAATTCAATGAATACTAAACACAGGACATGAAAGATTAACTAATGTATTTCACTTTAAAGTGCTATCTATGGAAACACATTGGCAGTTTATTTTTAATGTGTTTTTAATCCCTTAGATATTATTCCTTTCACAAACTGTGGTAAGATCTGGATTATTGTCATGGGAATACCATCGAAACACAAAACACAGTAGGAGGCTAGTATTAGTTACACATGCACATATAAAAATATCCACATATGTACACACACAAATATGAGAGGCCGTATGGGAGAAAACCATCATACTCTCTCAGAAACACTACTATACTCTTTTATGTGTGGAGCTCCTGCGTATTCTGGGGTAAATGTTCTGCAAAGCCAGAAATAGTTTGAGTTCAGCTCTGAGATAAGTCAGAGGCTGAGCTAACACTGGCACAGTCTGTACTGCAAAACCATAAAATCACACAACACACAAGGCAAATATGTTTTCTATCATCCCAAAAAATCTGCAGGCATTCAATTACTGGGGCTAACATGCACACTCACATGCACGAGCACAAATACATGCACCTTGAGGATGCCCTGGCTCACCTGTGGGGCTTAGGGAACAAGATGGATGAGTCTGGTTTGCGGATGAAGTATTCATCGGCCACTTTGCTGATGGCGACCTTGGGTTTCTCTCGGCGGGGCAGGGTCTCCAGACAAAGGGGGGTCTCCACTTTGGGACGCAGCATGCAAAGGTAAGGAGGAAGCATGTGGATGAAGATCTAGGAGGAGAGCAAAGGAGTTAGATCCACAATTTACAGTTCAGCCAAAAAAAGACAAAACAAATACCCATTCAAACGCACTGTATTGGGTTACTGTACCAATAAACCACATTAGTAAACAGAAGGTTATTTAACTGTACTTTCCGCTCTCAGTCGATAGCTTGTTGGCTCGCTCCGACCTCCCAAATCCATCGTCTCTCCTGGTATTAAAAATCCATTTGTTTGGATCCTCGTTTTATGATTTATGGGAAAGCTGAGATTTACTCACCTCATATTTGCCTATTAGGGTGAGAAATGACTCAAAATGTGGAATTTAGCTGTGAGATAACCTTTGAGAACAGTTGCTGCTGAATGCTGTGGGCGGGGAAACCAAATGGGTAATGCCCTCCAATTCCTCAACGTCTAATCTCAAAGTGTCCTTGAGCAAAGATCATAAACTCCGGATGCTCTAGTGGAGCTCCTCAGTGAAGAGTGTTGTACTGTGAGATGTGTGCGATTAAAACTGAAATAAATGTTTCTTAAATCCTCCGATTTTGTCTTTGTACAACCATCAGCTGGAATCCCTTGGATGTCAGACTTTCAAAAGGAGACTTGAAGATAAAACTGGACCAAATATCAGACTTGATCAATATCACGATGCTGTAAAATGGCTTCTTAATCTGCACTTTGAAGTGCTTTGATATCTATCTTTCGAAATAACTCTTGGCTTGCCTCTATTGACACATATATATCAATAATATCCCGCTGGCAAGGAAAACGCTGTAGCTGCAATAGTGAATGTAACAAGAGGCTTGAAAATTAAATGTGGCTTTTATAGTGATTTTTTTCTTAATTCAGAAGTAATGGCACTGAGTCAAGTAGTCTCTTATGAAATCACATTTAAATTCAACAGATCTGGATTTTAATGTGGCGGTTCATTAATTCAGATAGTTAATACACCTCAGATCCCATCCAACCACCACCAGTGTGAGGAGTTCCCTACACTACGCACAGCATCACCCCCTTTCAACCTTGATGACATCACTAGGGGGCCTAATAAGCACCAAATGGACTCTTACGTTCTGTGCACAAATCTCTCCTTCCCACGCCGACACCGGACATCTGGAGAGTAGGAGCGCTAAGAGGCTGAACCTATAATGCTCCTGTCACCGTCAATCCAGCGCTGATCCCCCTTCAGTTCACTTAAACCATTAAACCTATGTGAATCAGCCGTATGAGTCAGAGCCTTGTCACAGTGAACGTTACAGAACCAAAGTGTAGAGCTGCTGTAATTAGCTTCACATAATGTGCAGCGAGGGCAGCAGCCAGTGATGGAGGTTAATGGTGCAACATGACATTCAGGGCGTTCAGGACTGTGTGGACTTCATTCAGTGGAATGCCCGATCCTTAACTACTATAGCATACTATAGCATACTACCAATTTAACACTCAGAATTAGCAATACATGAATTTTTCAGGCCAACAATTAATGTCAATGACACCACAGTTACCATAGACCGTATAAAAGAATGGACAGATTAAGTTAAATTAACTAACTAATTAATTAAAATTGTCTATACTTTGCATAAGTATTTGGTTAGACGGTTGCATTGTGTGTTACAGACTTATTTCTATTTGTACCTAAAGGCAGCATAAATTAGTCTTTTATCAAGATATACTAAATCATCCAATATGCCACAGAGCTTGGTTACACACCAGGAACCCAACAAACACACATAGAATCAAATCAAATCATTCCACCTCACCCTTCGGACCCACATGGGCATCAGGTGGGTGTTGGGGGAGCGGTGATGCAGGTTGAGGACGACCACACCGAGGATTACGGAGAAGGTGACGAGGATCATGGTGAACATGATGTAGTTGACGATGATGGGGACGCCCAGGGACGTCTCAGGGATCTTATCAGCCAGCAGCAGCAGGAAGACAGTGAGGGTCAGCAGCACGTTGATGGACAGACCCATCTTTTCACCTGGTCAGGACAAAAAAAACATCTGGAGTTGAGGAGAGTTTCATTTAGAAAAAATGTATTTTCCCCCTGTGTGGGAGATAGAATTCAGCAGTGAAAATCCTCTGCCATTTCACATGAAGATGACTGGACATCGATAGACTAATAGGGCCTAGCATGCTCCCTCAGTGAGTAACTGTCCGCCACTGACTCCATCACACTGTATCACCGGAAAGTTCAACATGTTCGAATTCTTCCTCGGCTGACAAGTTAATCCAAGAAAGTGCAGCGCATAAAATTATTGATCAGCAGCCAAAAAAACCCTATTGGATTATTACTACTTAAATGTCCTTGACTTGTCTGTGTATCAGGGATGAGGATCATACTTTATGATCAGGCACACATGTCTACAGATTGTGCAGGAGAGCCGACCTTGAGCTGTCCCACAAGCAGAAACCCCGAAGGTGGGAAGAATTAAACCATAGAGACTGGAGATTAAAGACTTTAAAGAAACGCACGCCACCTACAGCTAAAGGGTTCCACTTGTCCTTGTGTCATGCACTTAAATGAGCCATTTAACATGAAAATGCTATATGGCAAATCTGAACTGAGACTAAAGGAAGACAGAGGGATACCAGGGATTCGCTGCTAAATCCACCCTGAGAATATCAGAGAATGAAGGGATGATGTGTTTCTCCTTCCGAAGAGCAATCACGCCTGTGTCAAACGCTGAAGAAAAAACTGCAAGTGGCTCCAGATTTAAAGGAGAGATGAACTGCGCCGACACAAGAAGACAGGAGGATTTGGAACAGAGGCAGTTGTGTCAAGGCTGATAACTGATGAGGACCCGATTGAGGCCGACACAAGGATAGTTCCAACACAGTCTTTAATCTAGGTTACGAGTTTTGGTATCGGTAGGAAGTCTGAAGTCTGGTGCAGGTAGTGGTTCCCCACGGATTTTTTACACCGTGATCAGGCGATTACCACGAGTGTGAGGGACAGAGTAACACAAACTCACTGCAGCTTTTATTTACTGCATTGGACTCTGGTCGGGTTCAGACAGAAAAAGCAGAATGTCTTTTTGGCTCGGATCGAACTCGGTTCAGATGGGTTTGGACAGAAAAAGGCATCCCAAGGCCGCTCAGTTTTTTACAACTGATGTCCACTGAGGCGTTTCACCTCCTCCAGCGTGATGTGTCATTCTGTAGCAGGATGACACAGCAGAGCAGGAGGATCAGTCAGACTCAGCTCCTGTTCTTGTGTGTGTTTTTTTTTATTGAATGTAGTTTGAGGTTCAAAAGATCGCATTTTTAAATTTTTTGTGTCTGTCACTTGTTAGAAGCATCATCATCAGCTTCACTCAGGCACATCCAAGGTTGCTACTTTCACTACCATGGGAGGTGCACAGCCCTAAACACTGACGACTTGATGAATCAATGTAAACCAGATTGTTGGAGAAAGTATATTGAAAGCATGGAGGTACAGTGAGCAGAGCTGATTACTCTCAGTAGTCGGTGGGCTGATTTCTACCGTTTTAATTTTCGAGGTTATCGATTCAGCTGAGTGCCAGGAAGCAGCTATCTAATCTGAAATGAAATCCCTTCTGTTCCAGCGATTGCACCAGTGTGTGACTGCCCAATTTAAACAGACCACACAAGCACGATCAGGAGAGCGGTTAAACTGCAGAATTACTGTCCAGATCACCATAGTGACGCTGCCAGGCGTTCAGTCATCTTTACCTCAGGCCCTTAACAAATCGGCTTGTGTCGTCGTACCTGCATCAGGTGGCAGGTAGAAGTTAAAGATGGCGATGATGGTGATGAGGATGCAGGGGAGGATGATGTTCAGGACGTAGTACAGAGGCTTCCTCTCGATGATCAGGTAGAAGACCATGTCCTCGTACATGTCGTCACTCACCACCTTCCTTGCCGGCTTGTGCTTGATGTGCCACTCGCCACCCTCTGGGGGAACATTTCAAAACCACGCTTTTACTGGACAGAGCAACAAATCTGTATACCCCAGGGGGCGTCCCGAACAAAAGTGAGGAAAAACACTCTGGTGACTGATGACAAGCAAAATCAAGGGGGAAAACAGAATAAAGAAAATTAAAAACATGGAAGAACTGATTCAGCATTTACTGTTGTCTACTGTGCATACAAATATAACTTACTTTTTGCTCTAAACTGAGAATGATTAACACAGAACTGTTGCAATCTACTGAAAGTGAAATATATTCATTAATTTAGAAATGTTGTCAGTGTGTCATCACACCTTTCCCTTCATTTCAAAGAGCTCACTATCCCCTTAATTCCTCCATCCATCCATCCATCCATCTTCTCACCACTGTAGCTCTCGTCCAGTAGGATCTCCCGTATCTCTTTGCCCTTTGAGTCCAGCGCGTATTGCAAGTCAATCTCCGTCGAGTCATACGTGTAAGAGCGGAACTGCATCGTGCAGTTCTGCCAGTCGAAAGGGAACAATGTCACCTGGACGGAGAGACAGGGACGTGAGAATAGACACATTAGGGGAACAATTTTAGGAGGAATTGAATGAAAAGCAAAGGAGGGTGCATGTGTGCGTGTGTGTGTGTTCACCTCAACTCCACAGGAGCTGCAGTACAGTGCAGGAGGGGTCCAGGTTACTCTGCCGTTACTGTAAGCCTGGACGTGGACGTGCAAGGCCACATCAAACACGCCGTCATTACTGTGAGATTAAAGCAAAACTGATTAAAAGCTTTGAATCCTTCAATCGATGGTTTTGCGTCTGTATCTTCACTCCATGTTGCGCATAAAACTTTTCTTGGGATCTTTATCTCCACACACACTGAAATTGGAGCAGCATCACGTCCCAGTCCACCACTTGTGTTCTGCGCTACATGAGGTTGCTGCTCCTTTCTCGACCTCACTGAAGCTGCACATGTACAACAAGCGCAAACATTGGACAGTCATCAATATTGCATCAAAGAAACAAGACGTAATCGCCGTCTGGCAGGAGATGTAGCCTCATACGAGCAAAAAGAGTTTGCAACAGTTTACCATAAGACTGTTTAACTCTCAGTGAGCACAATAAGCTCCCTTTCCTTTAATACCACTATTTATTAAACCTACTATAAGGTTTTTTGAAAACATTTTCTTTTAACTCAGTTGATCACACTTTATGATTATTGTTCTTATCTTTAAAAGGCCTTCTCTTAACTGTTTGTATGATGCTGAGAAACACATGGGGGGGGGGTTTAAGTTTTAATTGGCCATTGGATGATCACTGTTCCTCCTCTACACTCTCACAGAGTACATCAACATTTGGCTGCAGTCCCGTTCTGAGAGACCTCCCACTAAAACATTTTAATCGATGCTGGATGATAAAAGGGAGGAACTCCATACATTTCACATGACACCTCAGAGTGCAGCACTACTGCACACAAAGCAGTTTTCCCTCACAACACAACACACAACAAAGACACAGAGTCAATTAGACGCAGATTAAGTCGTCTGTCGGGATGTTGTGTTTGGTTTTTATGGCTCTGGATGATTTAAAGGACGGAGAAGCTAGCGTCCTTCATGTAGGGCCCTCCTGAAACCCTCGTCCCTGTGAAGAGGCTGCATCAGTGACAAGCATTGATCACACTCACACACACACGAAGAAGGTTTGACATGTTTGCATTTGTGTAAGTCGGTACTTGTGTATTGTGGAACGACTCCTGAGCTGAAGAACCTGAGCATCAGAGAGTTTTAGTGTCTCCATATTTTATTTAAGGGTGCGATGTCTCAGTGCTACAAGCTGGTCTGGTGAAATAGCAGCATGAAAAGCAGTGTCGTGGAGAAAAGTGCTGACGTAGCTGTGACCGGTGGACATCGAGGGTGATGGGCCGTTAAAGCTTCACTACACTTTTACAACTCAGTGCAAACGTGTCTCCCACATCACCTCAAAACCAAAACAATAAATAGTCATAAGAAGTGATTGTGACCTTGAGTAGAGGTGGGAATTAAAGCAGACAAACACGGATGGATCTCTGTGTATCGAGAGCAGTGGAACAAGCAGCACACATCTATACTGACTCACATTCCTATACATAACATTCTAAGCTTTTATATTAACTTCTAGATATATAGAGCCATTTAAAGCAAGTATAAATCATAATATTACAGGAAGAAAATGAAGTCATACTTACTAGAATTACTAGAATAAAGTCAGAATTTCAGGCTTAGTGTAAAATGAGGATTGAAAATGGCCTCTTTTTAAATTTCTCTATACAAGGTTTTGGTTCAAGATCTTGGATCCAGAAGGAATAGAACTCAGATGAGCATGTGCTTTTTTACTCAAAAGATATTATAATCTATTCTTTTAATATTAGAACTTCTGTATCACCAAGTTACAACTTTATTCTTGTAAAAGTACAACTTTTTTCTCAGATAATTATGACTTTATCCTCATAATATTGCACCTTTTTCTCATTAATCTATGACTTTTTCGTACTAACAAGACTTTTTTGCATTAAATTATGAATTTATTCTCGTAATATTATAATTTTTATTCTCATGATATTACAATTTATTTTTTCTTTATAATGACCCCATTCCACGCCTTAACATCATATTTGAAAAAGTGTCTCCTCTCAGTTCATACTGATGAATGTCCTCTTGATTTCTTACTTGTTGATGAGGACGATGTCAGGCAGCCAAACCCTCGCAGAGGGGATACGCAACACCTCAATCCCATCATGCTCTTTGGGTTTCCAGGACAACCGATGATCTGTCCATTCCTGTTTGGAAAATGAATAAGAATTATTATTATTGATATTTATTAATGCAGGGATGTGGATATTATACAGGAGTACGGGCACCGGGCTGCACACGCAGAGAAGCTGATGTGAACAGACTTACCAGGTTCATGACAACAACCGTGCTCATCTCTTCATTCTTCATATTCTGGTGGGAAAACACAAGTGTCCGTGTTATCGAAGCTTCTTTACTGAACCAGAGCTGATGGCAGCACCACGGTCATGTTTCACATTCACCTGTAAATAAATCTGCCCTATTTTTCTGAATAAACACGATCATTTTCAAACAGCTGAATATTCTCCTTGTGAAAACATATTATCTAATTAATTCCTAAAAATCATAATTCTGAGGTGAATTAAATACCCATTTGTACAGCACATTTCTCATTACAATAAATTCAGTGGCAGCTACAAGTGTCTGTAAAAATTACAACAGGCGCTCGAAGCTGCTAGTGGATTTATTGCTCTTTCAACTCTCATAAAGCACTTAGGGATCTTCTGTGCAGCGTGGTCATGTGAACTCAAACTCTGGGAGAAATTCCAATTTATTTGTAATTATTCTCATAATAATTGTAGCTGTTCTGATTTTGATTTCTGCACTCTGACAAAACTCTGCCACACTTGAAGTAGGTACTGACCCACATGCAGATGCACACAGGGACTTGGTGTAAGGACTTGATTCAGAACTTGTGATTTTACTTACAATGCATTAGCTGGATCAAATGTTGCTTTTGTTGCTTGTTTAATATGTTTAATAGGAGGTATAAAAATTAAACTGAAATATATAACATATTCATATAATTTTTCATGTGTTCTTTGAAATGTCCCTTTACGTTCACACTGCATGTGAGCAGGTTCTGCTGGTGGAGATCTCCCTGCACATGGCGGGTTACGATGCAGACGCAGGTAGAACAGCTGATAGCAGAGACACTGGCTGGTAGGCGTGATTGTCCGGCTCGAAGGAGACCGGGGCTGCTATTTAAAACGTTGGGAGGAATGTCAGGGAGACAGCTGGGGCAGGGGCTGGGAGAGAGAGTGGGGGGGAGCAAGAGACGTCAGCTCATTCCACACACACATGCACACAAACACCAAATCTCATCACCGGCCTATTGCCCACTGATACTTCCTGTAACTGTGTGAATTTCCCTCCGGGCGGATGTTAATAATAACGCAGCGGTTATCCAAAGTGGGTCCGTTTTCAAGACCGTTGCTCTCGACAACTTAAGGACCCCACGTGACTTCCCCTCCAGAGTGAGAGTGACCTTGAGCGAGACATGTTCACTGTATGTTAATGTGGCACAGTGTGCACGCATTATGTGCATCTGTTAGATTTCATACTCAGGTTTTACATTCTTACACGCAGGCACAAACACTTTAGCTGTTGCGAGCGGCTAACACACAATTTCCAGGCATGGATGAATAGAAATACAGATCTTCCCATCAGGAGCATGACTCTATGTGCTATCTGTCTCAGCAGGCCGGCAAGCATTGGATTTAGCACCATATGGCTCAGATGTTTTAAAGAACATTTGCAGGTCCTGTCGTGCGTGACTACAAGGATGTGGTTCTCAGCATGGGGAGCAAGCATTCTGCTCAAAACCCTCGTAGAGAGTTAGTCTGAGTCAGATTTTGATTTTTAAGCACTGATTTTCTTCAGAGGCAAAACTACATTTTCTGGCTGATGGCAGTGAAATGTGGAGTAAGAGAGCAGGGTGGGAAACAGACCCCCAGGAGATTCTGTGCTTCTACTGCTACAGGAAACCCTTCAAGAAATCTTAATTTGAATCGTCAGTTAGAGTTTATGAATTTGATTTTCTTAAAAGTAAAATGAGCTGATTTTTTTTCTTTATAAAGAAAAATTCAGCTCGGTTTTTCTGGATTAACAAAGTAGTCAAGTCTCTCTTTCATGAAAGCAAACATGTCCCCTCTGTTTAATCCATTTTTATTTTGGTTTGGGGTTTGAGACATTTGGAGATACTCGTGTCTTTCCTCTGTTGACATCGTACTTGTCACCAACCAGCACTGTGAGAGAGTTTCTTATGGGTTGGGCTATGCAGCAACTTTAAAACATCCCTTCAAGTTCAAAACATGAGCAGAACTCTTTAGTGGTGTCATGATCATCAAAAGTCCTGGTCTCTGAAACGTGTCTGTTCATTGCTGTGCAGTTGTGGATCCTGAACGTTCTCATGAACAATGTTAGACTTCTGTCGCTCACCAGTCCAACGAAGGAGGACAGGATCATACCCACGCGGACCACCACCCTCTCTTCTGGGGTGGGTGCTGGCCGGACCTTGAGGTTGTAGTTGGTGAAGATCTTCTTTATCAGAACCTGCTCCATCTCCGAGGCGCCTGGGTGACACACGGAGAGAGTTTGGGTCACGACTTCAGGCATCAAGCTGACTCATCAGTTTGATTTGTCAACGGTGGATAATCAGAAACAAAGGGCTTTCAGTCTTTTATGTAAATGTCACTGTTTTTAAAATAAAATGAATTTCCCTTCTCATCTGTGCAAGCAGCTCATCGTGACACTTATTTGTGTTTTACTGTTAGCGGCTGATGCTGTAGTAATAATGACTACAGGGGCTGAGAACAGCTCTCGCCCCTGTCTATCATGAGTCAATAACAAAATATTCATTTGTGTAACCATGACAACTTGTTTAAATGTAAATCACATTTTTCCTGAGGCTTACCAACTTGTTTTTGTGCCCTAATGTCCCCGATGGACCTTCTCCACATCCTGAACTGTGTATTTGTTATTGTTTCTATTCTGAACACAACCTTTATGCCTGCAAACTGTCAGGATGTGTAAATCTGTGTCGTTGCCTGTTAGCAGTGACAGAAATCGCTGCCAAGTTTAACTTCTACTCCATTTTTATGCAAAAAGCTCCTGTTTTATTCGCAGCCGTTTCCTCCTCTGTGCTGGAAGGTCAGAGGCATTTATAATCAGCAGCTCCGGCGACGCAGCATTCATCACGTTTGGCACCGCCGTGGCCCCAGCAGGATCTGACCTGACAGGAATAAATGACAACGATCACCCGGCGTGGCACCCCCATTAGCTAGGCGCGGGGCTGCATGGCTGCTGATGGGCTGGAGTGGGAGGTGGTTGAGGGAGGCTAAAAATGTTCTTCTCTGGCTGGTTCTGACTTGGTAAATAAGTCAAACTCGTGTATGAGCCCAGTGAGATCAGATGAGGTTGGACATTGAAGGATCATGTTGCACAGAGGAAAATCGGAATGGTCGTTTGCGAGCTTTGGTTTTCTGTAGATACTCTGATAAAGGTCAGGGGAGGAATTTATAAGCCCTCCTGAAAAGACACTTTAATGTGATCGCAGCCGTTTTCCCCACTTGATCACTTCAGAAATGTCAATACAACACAAAGACTTGACCAGACCTGCATTAAGCTGAGCCAACTGTCACTATTACACCTTTAACACAACAACAATCCAACAATATGTTTTTTGATGGCTTCCACTGGTTCGTGCTCATGGGTTTCTGGTGCCATCAACTAGGTGTGATATCATCCCCAAAAGAAGTGTTACATGACTATTACAGCTCTGTTATAGGACCTGCGTATGTTGTGTCGACTTGTCGCTTACCTCCCAATGTGCCCAGGCAGCATAGGCAACATGTCAGCAGGAGCAGATCCAAGCGTTTCATATTCCCCCCCTTCTTCAAAAACAGATCCTCACTGGGTTATTCCAACTTCTGCAACTTCTCCCTCTGTTTTCCAGTGGAAGTTGACAGTGTGAGTTTTGGTTTGGACTGTTGTTGTCTGTCAGTCAGGTCGGCCTGGCCAACTGCTGTCTGCTCCAATTACCTCCTGGAGGGAGGGTGTGTGTGTGTGTGTTACTGTCTCCCCCCCACCCCCATCCCTCAGTGTGAGTCAGAGAGCGGCAGCCCCCCCTCATGGTTCTCCGTATCTGTATCTGGAGTCCCTGTGTGGGTCCATGAGAAAAGGAGTAAAGATAACATTACTTCAATATTTCTGTGGAAAATAACATGGAGGTTAAAAAGACTGGTTTGATAAAAGGGTTCAGTCATTTTAGTTCAATACAACACAAGTCAAAACATGAAAAGCTTTGAGGTTGAGATATTTTACAGCTCCACAAATCGAATCTGACTCACCAAGAAGATATGTTTGTAAGTAATGTCCTCACCTCCTTTTCACGGCATCAAGTAAATTCAAACCAAACTTACTTGAGAGAATGAGCTCTTGAACATAGAATATCTGTATGATAACAAGTACCTACAATAACAGAAACAATCTCGGAGAAAAAAACTATCTGACATGTACTTTGAGAAGCGTGCCCACTAAACCAGGCCAGAATTGGAAAAACCAGACATTAATTCCTGCTGATTCCTTTATTGCCTCATATGAATAGAACAAATGGAGATATTTCACATAATGTAGACTTGGTGTTCTTGTCCATTTTAGTTACGATATAAGATTTGCTTTTACATGAAGATTTACATGGCTGTCTTCCACATGCAACCATTGTCCTATCAGGACATTTCGAGGTGAAGCAGGGGCCACTACTCTCTTTGTAAATTACTTTTTTTTTTCAACGCTAAGTTAAAAAAAGTTTGATCGCCAAACACTGCTGTATTTTCCGAAGGCCCCCGCTGTAAAACATCTCCATCCTCTCTTTTATATCCTGCGTTCTCATCTCTTTATGCCGCTCCGCTCTCGCAGACGTTTGTCGGCCGTCCACGCCGCATTAATTTATGATCCACTGTCACTGCCATTTGGCCCGCCGCCAATTTAATTACCATAGAAGCTAACTATTAAAAGCTAGCGGCCAGTGTCGAGTCACACATCAAATGGTCAGGAGGGAGTGTATAAAGCGCCTGTTGGCAGTGACTCAATTTTAGTGATCTCTCCCACAGCAACTGTTATAGATCACTGTTTAATATCAGGAGTAAGTCGTCAACTTAAATTACACTGATTGTTTACACAGGTAACAAGCAATCTTTGTTTGACGTGGGAGATTATCTTTAAACTTTATTCCAAGACCGAGTCGAAGTCCCCACTTTATTTCCTGCTTTAATTACACTCAAATGAATCTGTGTGACAACATGTCTGTTTTGTTTACTCTGCTAACAACCTTGGAGATAAAAGTCATCTTATCTGAGTTCTCAAATTAGAAGTCTGCCAGTTAAAATGTGTTTTCAGACTTTAATTGAAAGTCATCAAAAGAACGCTATGTCACCAAAAAAGTCACATGGTCAATACGGGATTCTTTAACAACTTATGCCCACAATAATGACATTAAAATGGTGCGGATTCTGGAATCTGGCAACTTGGATTTGATCCCATTGATAGTTAATGTTTGATTCCCATTTAGCAATCCAGCTCATCCCAAAGGGAAATCCACCTTCTATTGGATGCTCTCTGTTCCTTTAGTGGCGTTATGGAAAGTAGATATGATATTTTCTACTGTGAAACCCATTGATTTCTCTTAAACTCAAGAGAATCTCCTCCCTGTCTGTGTCCAGTAAGACGGGGCCTTCCTCAAGTGAGATTGTAAAGTAATAATGGCCGAAATATCTTATGATCCTATTCGTCCCAAAATTTTGAGAAAGATAAACCCAAAGCCAGGAAAATGTCAGTGCGACACAGAACACAAAACCATGAATATGCTCCAAATATAGAAATGTGCAAAGCAAATTAAATCAAAAAGCTGCATAGTTTACTCTGACTCAACTGATGATGTGTCCCTAACATCTGCTGGTCGTCGGAGGACCTTCATAAAAATATGTTTTTCAAATCTTCTCAGAGTCAAAGCTCAGGTAAATTTGAACACAAAGACAAACAATCATAGAGACACCCTTATATTTGACCTCCATACATTTGCTTGCAAAAAAAGATGCTCCTAATAACTCCAGAATGTTCCAGAGAATCACTACACTGGAGTCATAAGACTTTTAGAAACACGGCTGTAACTTTTTATCCAGAGGGCGATCACTGCGTGTGGGAGTAATGATCAGATGTGAGTCTGTTTGTCGTCTTTGTACCACACAACTACCTTTTAACAAATCTTTGGCCTCAGCTGGAGACACCACAGACGAGCAGAGCAATGTCAAGCGATGAACCTCATCTGACTGCAAGGAATTGCCTGTCAAATTCCCATATTCTAAAAATGTCGTTGAGGCTGGGTGGGCGTGGTTACGTATTACAAAAGACAATATGAGACCTGCAAACACTTAAATGTAAAAACGCACAGCAGGTCGTATGTCGAAGGAACAAAACCAGAACACACGCCAAAAAATCTCTCAGGAGACCAGTGTTACAATCATACAAATATATTAGTTTGTTTTATTCAATTATATCCAATAATACGTCTCTGTTAACTTTGTGTAAGTTATTATAGAAATAAATACAGATCATATTGCAAATGCAGAGACAGGGGTTTGGGGATAATCAGAGTGTCGAAGGGAAGAAGGGGGGGTGGGGGGGGTTAAGGGGTTAAAGAGTAAATATTGGGTAATGACTGTTTCTTCAGAGGTGTCCAGTAAATGATTGGCGCATGCATGCTTGTAATCCCGCCCATCAGAGACCATCTAACCCAACCCAGGAGTCTCAAACTGCAAGTCTCTCTTCGCTCCTTTCTCCAAGTGATCCATGGTTCGGATGGCGTTAAGTTGTCGTGTTGTTCCACCTAGTCAGCAACAGGGGGAGTTATTGCACCCCCCAACCACTCTTGCATGGATATATTTATATATAGAGATATATAGATATATTTTTTTTTGCCCCATTTGAATACAAAAATAGTGTCATTGTGGCTTTGATAGCTGGAAGACTGAAGCACTCTTTGTATTTGGAAGACAAGAAGGAAGATTAAGGTGATATCCTTAAAATCTTTTCGGTAAGTCGGATCGTCCATGCAGTACAAAGAAAGAAAAAGTCCCAAAAAAAAAGAATCCTTCAAGGATCGCTCACAGAATCACACATACACACACACAGGTGGAAGAGGTGTGTGTGTTTGAGGGACGGACGGACGGCGAATGAGCAGTCCACATGCTGCAGGTGAGCCAATTAAAATCCCGTTAAGAGATCAGAAGGGGGAGGCTGGCGAGTGGTGGGGTTTTCTGGGTAGCGGGGGGGGGGGCATGAGGAAGAGGTTTGAGGCCCATCGCTCCTGCTGCTCTTTGTCGTCCTTTCGTTTTGTTTTTTGAAATCCCACACATCAAGTAACAGGAAATAACAGACACGTATATGCTTTGAAATAAACACGTCAAATCAATAAAACACACGTGAACGGACTAACAGTGATTCGTAAAGGGCGTCACAATGAATACTAATAATAATTAGATTTCCCTCACATCATTTCATTACATGTCACAGTACTTCCACTGAGAAACACCCAAAACACAATCCACACTTTCTCTACTTTCTGAGAAAGAAATCGATACATTTTTTTAAGCATAGTTTACAGAGTGAAGTCCCCACTAACACATTTGAGGTGCATTAGCTTGGAAGAGGTGAAGTCCCTCCATGATCTCATTGCAAAGGTCACCTCTCCCCCCAAACCCCTCCCCGCTTAGCCACATCTGTACGTGCGTGGTGCAGGGTGCTGTGTGCAATGCAGATGTGTCCAGGGATTGTGGGTGTGTGCCTTTAAAAAAAAAAACACAGCCAGATTTTTACATGTGAAGTTAATGTGTTGGTTTGTAATATTAACATGAGGTGCTCCCGATTCCAAAGTAAAAAAAAAATAGTTATGAAGCAGCTTAGGGGGAAAAGTGAAGGAGAGAGAGAAGAGAAAATCCGTCCGCGAACGGCGTCACTCTTTTGTCGGGAGCACGTGAGCCTCTCTCTTCCTCCCTCTCTCTTTTTTTTGTGTTTTCTGCTGCATTGCAGATGTGGTGAAGGGACTCCACCTCAAAGTAACACGCTCACACACACACACACACACACACACACACACACACATACACACACACTAGCAAACTCAGCTCCAAAAAAGGGGGAAAAGTGTTAAAAAAATAAAAGCTCTAATAAAACACACAGTTGGTTTCTATATCAATATTAATATGCCCCCCCGCCCACCCACCCACACCCACACACACGCACACACACCCTCTCCCAGATAATGTGGCTGCACCTTGTTAATGGAGTTTATTGCTTTCTGCCCAAGGACTCATGCTCATTGATTTGGCCTCTGATTTATGCTCTGTTTTCTTCTCTCTCTCTCTTTCTCTCCATCCTTTATTCTTGGATACACATAATGGACACACAATGTCATTCTGTCACAGTTACGCAGTGACAAAGACCAAAGCTGATGAGTGTGGAGCGTCCGTCTGATCTCTCCACACATGCACATGCAGCACATACATACATTCTGCCTCCGGGTTAAAGGGAAGTTGCAAAAGTGATGGTAGAGAGGAAGTGAAACTTCAAATGGAGGCTGTGAGGGCAAGAGTTAGCTACACGACAGTATGTGAGGGCCAGTCGCTCTCTCTCTCTCTCTTTCTCCAAGTCCTTCACAACCCTGGATGACCCTCTCTCTGCAGTTGTAATCCGCTCAGTAAGTGGGGATGGCCCTGATGAGGGAGGAATGGGAGGGAAGGGAGTCCCCCGGGGAGAGAATGTGTGTGTGTGTGTGTGTGTGTGTGTGTGTGTGTGTGTGTGTGTGTGTGTGTGTGTATCTGAATCAGATATACTGTACATCATTTAACCCCCTTCGATACACACACATATTCACACCGCTTTTCTCATACACACTAAAGAAACGGTGATGCTGAGCTCTCCAAAGGGCCGATATCTGACATTAAGATCCCAATCCTG